GCAGCCATGATGTTACACCCCACGCTATGTAAGGGTCAAGTCAGCACAGGGCTCTACAGCAGGAACAGGAGGAAAGGAGCAGTACCACCACTTATGAACATTTAATATGTGCTTGGGACAGTGCTAGTTTACAGCTGTTGTTTAAAAAAAGTGCTTACTGCATGCCAAGGCATTGTGCTTTATGTACAGTTTTATATACAAAACAATATTATGTGTTCCATGTTATTATCCCCATTTTACAGAAAAGGAGACAGGCTTGGAGAGGTTGAGTTCACAGATTGAGTAAGTGGCAGGGCCAGGATTGAAAATGAGGTAGGTCTGGCTCCAAAGTTGTGTTGCCTCTCTCTGCCACACTGCTTTCCTGTTTATTAAGTTACCTTATGGGCTGAGAGTCTCCTTGTGACCAAATTCTCTTCTAATAGACTGGTCTTCCTTTTGACTCCTGGACATGTTTTACTCTCTTCCACTTCTGTTTCTTTTTTTTTTTTCTCTTCCCGGAGAGCCCTCCATTAAATATTACCAATCCTTCAGTGCTTAGATTTATCATATCATCTTGATCATGATCACAGCCATTTGCCTTCCTGTACAACTTGACCTCAGGCTAATCCTTCCAGAACGTAACCTCCTTCAGCATCAGCTCCTGGTGCCACTCATTTGGGTACTTAATTGTGTACCACCTTTTTTGGTTATTTAATGCTTACATGTGTATCCAGTCTTCCCAACTAGATGGTAAACTCATGGGTCAGGAGTCTGCTCCTTTCGTGCTTTTCTATTTCCATAGTGCCAGGCGCACTGATAGCTCACAGGGATGCTCAGTGACTGTTGAACTGAGTCACCGCTCTGGTTCTCTCAGTTTCCTCATCATTTGTAACACAAAGAGTTTCAGTGTAATAATTTCTAAAATGTACCCTGGTTCTAACACTCTATGAAACAAGAAGATACAGCAAAGTGCTAGTAGCCAGACTAGAATGTAAGGAGAGGTCCTATAAGAAGACCCCCAAAGGTAGCTCAGAAGAGGAGCAGTAGAGAATAAGCAGTGATCCCCTAAAGACCAGCCTTTTACAGGGAACGTGACTGAGGGGGCCACAAAAGTCCGCCTGGGTTGCTGGCCTGAGGTCTGGCAGCACCATGAGGTAGTCTTTGAACTGCAAGTGCTGCCCCCAGTATGGTTGTCAGGCTTCACCCTGAAAACAACCTCCTGGTGGTGAAAGGCAGACTCTTCAGGAAGAAGGGGGTTCTGGAGGAGTGGGACTGATGCAGAAGTGGACAGGGCCACCACAAATGACGGGGAGTGGCTAAGGGAAAAATAAGGTGTACAGTTTCTGATCCTTGGCTTGAGTCCTGTACGAGATTGTCCAGGACAGGTAGAGGGAAGTGGTAGATCTGCTCATCGAGGTTGTGTACGAGGTTGTGTCACAGGTTCAGCTGTGACTGATGAGCTGAGACAAGGTACTTATGACAGGGTGTGAGAAGAACTGTTGTCAGTGCTGCTTTCCGGAGGCGCGAAGGCTGAGTCAAGCTGGGATGTAGAAGCCTTGAAGTAAAATTCACCCAGACCGTCTGAATGAAGGTATAGTATTGGCTTCAGGAGGCAAGTGGCTGTTAATGGTACTCTGTTTCCCTGGGCACAGCATGAAAGATTTTTAGCCAACTTTCTGCCAAACAGCTTGCACCTCTCTGGTGGACCACCTGGGGCCAAGACTGGTGACTCCCAGGAGCACTCACTCTTAACAATGGAGGAACACTTACTCCTAACAATGGATTACCCTGATATCCAGGGCATTCCACTAGCTCTGGCTGTGAAACATTGCAATGCTAATTCAAAAAGGAGACTCGAGACTGTGGATATTTAGCTCCCTAGTTACTTTGTGAGTATTAATATATGCGTATATAGCAATATCCCATCCCTGGCAGAGAGAAGAGGGAAAAGAAGAGAATGGTGCAAACAGAATGAAAGTCTAGGAAGTGGGGTAGAGGCGAGCTCAGGCTGGCAAAGCCCAGAGGGAAAAAAGAAGGATAAGACTACAGGGCAGCCTCCTACTCCTGAGCAGCTCTGGAGAACAACAAGGCTACCTTGGCCCAGCTTCTCTGAACGTCCTCCTTGGTCTGCTTGCTGGGATCCGGGGTCTTGGCCATGAGTCAGCAAGTAGGGCAGGGGAGTTGGGTTGACAGAAGCAGGAACCTTGTCAGAAGCTTCCACAGGGAATCTCTCCAAGAAGGATTCTCCCCCAAGAGGGGTCCCTGGCTCTGAAGGCCCATGGCTATGAGATACCTTGGATCCTGGTTTCTGAACTCCGAGCCTCAGAGCTCTGTCACGTGAAATCCAGTTGCCACACTTCTTCTGGGAAGCCTCTCTCTGTTCTCAGGTCCATTTTTATTTACTGTGGAGCTCTTTGGGGCTTTCTCAAGGAGCCCAGTCTCACCGTGATCTTGCCTCAGGGCACACACTGTCCCCTTGTTCCTGACTGTAGGGTCTGTCCTCAAGAAGAAGATGTGGTCTTCACCCCAACCAGAGGTGAGGTATGTGGCCCCCCTTGCATGGTTTTGTGGCCTTTAACTCACTACAAGCTTACATGGAGCATTCGGATCTCCCCGGGATGACAATGACAGCCATGATAAAAACAATCATACCTCACATGTACTGGGTTTCTATGTTCAAGTCACTGTTCCAAGTGCTCTATGTCTATTTTCTCTCTCTCTCTCTGTCTCTCTCTCTCCCCCTATTTTGTCCTGGCCCCATGATTATCTTATCTTCCTCACCCAGCTCTTGAAGAGAAATACTGGTCAGAGACACAGACGCACAGGGAGAAAGTTAAGGAAAACCTTATCAAGGCCAGCGTGCTCCTGCCCCAGGCTGAACGCGGATGTGTGCCAATAGTACACAAGCCACAAGAGAAATGTCTTCTTTCCCAATTTTTTAAAAGCTATTTTTGGGGGACAGAAAGTCTTTTTATTTTATTTACATAAAATAAAATTATATCGTGGAGTATATTGAAAAATTCAAATAAATATCATTTAAAAAATAATTAAAAAAAAAATTTTTTTTTTTTTTGGTCTGACCTTGAGCCTTGCATTCCATTTTTTGGCAAGGGGAGGCTGAGGAGGAGTTTGGTCTCCTGTGTTTAAGTCCTTTGTTCTTCTGTCACGGAAGTCAGGCCTGCTTCATTTATCACAGGTTTGGCCACTCAGCATTTGACACCACCGTAATGAATCCAAATGATAACACCTCTCAGACTTTTCCTACATGCCAGCCTCTGTACTGCTTTCTATATAGCATCACATTTAATCTACATATCATTCCCATGAAGTAGGTTACCTTTATATAGATGAGGAAATTCCCATCTCCTTAAGTCAAGAGGACTTTCCAGCATAGTGTGTATTTCTATTGAGGGTAGACATCTTTCCTTACCTCCCCTCTTATGAACTGTGGACTTCCTGGGAGGCCTCGTTAACAATGTTTTTTCATGCCCCTGTGGCTTCATGGATGCTCCCAAGGTTACTGGCTTTGGAGTCCTGCACAGGTAAATAAACATCCTGGTAAGAGCTGTAACTACTCTTTCTACCTCTCCATGGTGGGATGGGAGTAGGAGGAGGACTTGAAAAGAGTGGGGATATGAAGTCTTTGAAATCCCTTTGGAGACCCAGCAGGAGTATAGGAGAAATGTGATGAAAGGGGCTAAGGCTCTCTCAAAGAGAAGGCTTCCTGGATATTGCTGCTACTGGTATGTTTTCTGCTGCCATAGCGCTAGGGGTATCCCTGAGAGCCATAGACACTATGAAGAGGGCCAACTGAATCAATGTGAGGAGAAGGGTCCTGATCTCAAGGGCATTTCCTCTTATTACATTATGACCTTGAGATCAGGACCCTTCTCTTCACAGTGGCCTCAGTTGGCCCACTTTATAGTATCTATCGGTCATTTACTTCAGAGTGTGGAGACTTTGGGAGCCAGCGTCAAGTAGAAAAGCCTCCTGCCTAATCGACCTCAGTGTTACTCCTAGGAAAGCTAACTCTCACTCCAGTTCTTAGATTAATTTCTTTACTAGATTCCATTTCTGCTCCTTAGGTCCAGGATGAAACAATTCTCTTTAAAGCCATCTACACAAGGCTGGGCAATACTTCCCTGGACACCCTCCTCCCCTCTCCAAGCTCCCACCCCCAGCTACAGAAATGTCTCATAACTAATAAGTCTCATTTTCCTATTTTTCAGCTTTTAAGTAGGAATATGTCAAGTTCAGCAGAGTTGAGAGTTGGCCCAAACTTGTTATTCGTTCTGGACCTCAGCTTTGACCTTTGGAAGACTAAATAGACAAATGCCTATGTTAGCGCTATTTCTGCATCCCAAAAGTTGGCTGTGATCAAGATCACGTGAAGGAATGTAACCATCAAACTGAACCAGCTAGGGCCGGCCGAGTGGTTCATTGGTTAAGAGCTGGCTTGGGACACCAGAGGGCCCCAGTTCGGATCCCACATATGAGGGCTAGTGACACTGCCCTCTACAGCTAAGATGCTGAGCAACAGCTCAACCTGGAGCCGGGATGCCATGAGTCGCCGGCGACGGCGTAGGCTGCAGCCCCTGCTGCAGTGGGTTGCCATGGGCTACCATGTGTAGCCAGCAGCCAGCGTGAGCGGCCANTGAGTCGCCGGCGACGGCGTAGGCTGCAGCCCCTGCTGCAGTGGGTTGCCATGGGCTACCATGTGTAGCCAGCAGCCAGCGTGAGCGGCCAGCAGCTGCAGTGAGCAGCCGTCCAGAAGCAGGCAACTGATCTGCCTAGCCTGGGAAGAGCACAATGATGGTGCCAACTTGGGCCAGTGAAGCAACGTCCTCCACAAACTAGACTGAAGAACAAAAGGACAGCAACTTGTCTGTTCCCATCCCTTAATTCCCCAATAAAAACCTTTAAAAAAACAAACAAAAAAAAACTGAACCAGCTAAAGAATTGGTAATGAGAACAAGGCAGTTCATTTCGCTTTATTATTAATATATGAGTGATTACTTTCAAACAGTGGTAAGCATTCTAGATGAAACTTGGAGTGGAATTTTCCTTATGAACTTTTTTAAATGTTGAAATTCTATCAGTCAGTGGGAGTATAAATATATGTTTATTATTTTAAGGAAAATGCTATAATAATTAATGGCTATGAAAGCTTATACTATACACAAAACAATTATGAAGAATTTTCACAGTTAAAAAATAGGAAAATTAGTTGACAGTTAATATAGATAGAGAGTGTATTAGCTGGATAACTTTAGGAAGAACTTTATATGCTTTTTGAGCCAAAAAGTATTTATAACAGTCCAATAAATAGTACAAGTACTATTTAATTTAACAACTCGTATAAGGCAAAACAATAAAATTAGATCATATCATAATTCTATCTGTGATTTCATTATATCATAATCTTTGTAGAATTGATTGGTATATTAGCATTTATCATGTTAAATAAAATAATCCTTAAGAACTATAGTTTTCAGGAGGATTTTTAAATTGAGATAAATTTGCATACAGTGAGTACACAAATCTTGAGTGTACAGCTCAATGAGTTTTCACAAAGTAAAGATATCTGGACCAAGAAAAAACATGTCCAGCTTATCTCTCTTACCCCTTTCCAGTTAGTACCCCCCAAGGTGATTTTTACCTGTCCCCACAGATTACTTTTCAATTATGTTTAATGTTTAGTTATTTAATACTATTTAGGTCAGTAGTCTTTCAAGAAGAAGTCGTTATTTGGAAATTCTTCTCATTTTAAGAGAATGCATTAAAGGCATAATTTTAACCACTTCGAAATTTTGTGAGGCGATGTCTTCAAAACCATAATATCCATAAGGAAAAGCATCAATAAAAAATATACCAAGACTAAAAAAAGAATACAGCTATGCCCAAGTTTGTTGTACCTCAGCTGAAAATCTATTTAGAATGATAAAGGTATAGCATAGTGACAACAGGTTGTATAAATTTTATACTCAGCCATTTGGCCGCAACGTATATCTCGTATACCTCTTTTTCAGAGCCTCTGTGATGTATTTAGTGCATCTCTACTTTCAAGACTCACCAACTTATTGGCACCACACTGTGCTTGAATTGTTCGATGTTCTGTTCTCCGTTCTTCTGATCATCCCCTTAACTCCCTTCTCTCCTCATTGTCTCAAACCACCCAGCCCACCTAATATGACTCTGCCTGCAGACTTGTCTTCTAGCTGACTCATGGACATCGTACCAGCACAAGAAAGCCCTTAAGGAGAATTGAGTGGGATATTAGTCTTGGTCCGAGTGTTTGCCAAAGGTGGATATGACTGGACAGGGATATTTCTATTTCTACTATCACTGCTATTACTAGTTACCATTATTGCATGCCTACCAGTGCCTGGGGCTGACTGAGGTTTCATAAATGTCATTTCTAAATTTCCCCACAATCCTGTTCAGTAGGAGGTATCACTCCCATTTTGCTATATGGAGACACAGCTGCAGAGAGATTCAGTAGTTGGCTCCAGGTGGAGTCAGGATTTACACCCAATTCTATCTGGCTCCAAAGCTTCTTCTGACTCTGATAAGAAGTAAAGGAGCACTAGAATTGTTAGGAGTGATAGGTAGGGAGTAGACTCCCCAGTTGGGAAGGGGAGGTCTAACAGCTTAGCTGGGTGCTGAAGGAGGGCAGGCAGGATGGTGTGGGGTGTGGTGTAGTTTGTCCGAGACTGAGATAAAGGAAGAGATAAGGGGCTGGTGATGGTCAGAGCTGCAGGCAATGAGGGAGGGGCTGTCAGGACTGAGGCAACAGAAAGCCATAGCTTCTCCAGCTCTGCTCCCTAGGGAGGGAGAAATGATATCTGCAGCTCAAGGGGGTAGGGAGGTGGCATTTCCACATCTCAACCCCAACTGCCTGGGAAAACTGCCAGAGTGGAGAGCCAGGGAAGCACCGAGGCAGGAGAGATGATTATCAGAAGGAAGGAAGCTCTGGCAGCTCCAATCAGCCTGTTTGTGACAAGCAGGCTCTGGGCCACGGAAGTCTCTTGAGGTCAAGGGAAATGTGACCTGGAGCAAGGGGATGATGCTGGGACACTCCTCTTACCGATGCCTTCAGGCCAAGGGGATCTAGCCAGAGCCAGGTCCACGCACAGGTCAGAAAGCAGTGGGCTGGAGAAGGGGGAGGGCAGTTAGAGAGGCAGAGAGAGGGATAATGAATTAAGATCCCTGAAGCACCTTGTAAACAGTCTCTTGGCTAGAGAGGTGATGACCTTTATTTCAGTCAACACAGGGCAACTGGCTTTTAGCACTCTCACAGTACATTTCTTCATGGGTGAACTCTTACCTAGTTTTCCTCTTGTCCATGCAAAGTTCTCTCATTATTTGCCCAATGGTAAAGTAGAGAGTGCAACTCTATGTAGAGTGAGGAGACTTAGGCTCAAGTCCAGGCCACTTCTACAACCAATTTCACAAGCTCTTGAATTAATTAAGCTTTCTGAAATCTCAATTTCCTCATCCTTACAGTAGTCATCAAGCCTATCTCACAAGGGACTCAGGTGGCTACGCCATGAAATGCTATATAAATATGAAGCGGCACTTCTTTGTCTTCTTTCTTTCCGCTGCCTCTCTGCACAGAGGCCACCTCACGACCACGTCAGAGCTGGGGAAGGTTTCTAGTTTAGGAACAGGAACAGCTCTGTCCATAAACCCCATACAGCCTTTACATCTATTTCCTCCTCTTGTCATGCTGCCAGAACATGCATAAGATGGGGCAGGGGAAAGGTGTACAAGGCAAAAACCAGGGAATCCCCTCACTCCTGAGCTTGCTTAGCCCCTCTCTCAGGAATAAGTTTCAGGGAAAACAACAATAAAGAGATGAAAGACCATCTCTTCTGGAGTTTAGCTCACTGAGGTATTGACCTCAGCTCCCCCTCAGCCTCTCAGAAAAAGCTGAGCTAGGAAGGGCTCCAAGAGATGAAGGGAAGAGAAACTTTTGGACATAGAAGGAGTAGTGCAGAGGCCTGTAGAGAAAATGAAAGCACAGCCCAAGAGTGAGGAAGGCTGGAAACCTAAAGGACTTTATCCAAGTGCACAGGAACCAGGTGGAATTTTCCAGAGTCCCCTTTCTGAGGTGGGTCACAGGCCACGATGTAAGAAGCGCGCAGTTTCTTCTCTTTGTACCTGCAGACTGGGTACTTCCCGGAGGTGAGCGCACACGTGGTCAGAGACACAGTCCCTTTGCTCTGGTGGCAGTTTTTCTGGCTGTTCCCGCAGGCTATGCTGGGGGTCTGACAGGTGGCAGCCACAGTGGAGAAGGATTCATGCAGGAAAGTGTTGAGGGCTTTGCAGTGTTTTGTGTGCTTGTTGATGTTGCCCATCGCCCTTTTGCATCCCTCGGGGCGGGGCTGCACATGCTGAGTTTCAAACCACTGAGCTGAGGTCATGGTTTTGGGCTTGGCACTGACTGGGACCTCGGCCACCCACAGGCCCAGCAGCAGAAGCAGCAGCAGAGGGCAGAGTCCTGCTTTGGTTGGTGTCATCTCTTCTAGGGGGGCAGTCAGAATGGAGGGCTGGGGTTGCTGGGGACAAAGAACACGTGGTGATTAGTTGAGCACTGAGCCTTCCTATCCGTGTTTCTTCTAGCTAACCACCATCTCCCTCCCCTCCGTGACTCTGAGTAGTCTCATCCCTTCCTCCCTGTCTTGTGCCACACCCACTATGATCCCAGCCTCCAGACTCAGTGGTTCTCAACCTGGGGGTCGCCACCCCTTTGGGGAGTCGAACGACCCTTTCACAGGGTCGCCTAAGACCATCAAAAAACAAAAAGATATTTACATTACGATTCATAACAGCAGCAAAATTACAGTGATAGAGTAGCAACAAAAATAATTTTAGGGTTGGGGGTCACCACAACATGAGGAACTGTATTAAGGGGTCGCGGCATTAGGAAGGTTGAGAACCGCTGCTCTAAACCTTTGCCCCACCCGCCCTCACCTCGTACCCCTATCTTTCATTCTGTCCCTCTTGCCTCCCACTCTTTTCTCTACCTCCTCTCTCTCAGGTCCCATCCCGTTTGTGTCCCTGTGTCCTTATCCCTTGCTCTGTGTCTTATTCCCTCCATGACCCCATCCCCATCTCCTCCATATCCCCATTTTGTGTCGCCACCCTCCCCCCACCCCCAGCATCACTGCCCTCTCTCCCGTTTGTCTTCATCCCCTCCACATTGAGTCCCTCCTTTGTCCATCTTATGGCTCACCTGAGTGTACTCTTATCTGGTCAGAACCCATCCCTTCTCTGTCCTCACCCATGTCCCGCCACCCAGCCTCACCTCCTCGCTCAGTCCTCGGCTGCTGTTCCTGCTCAGGGGACTGAAGTTGCACCTCCCACCGCCTGGCCTCAGCCTTCTGAGGGCCTCTTCTCACAGCCTGACTCCTTAAGACCTGGCTTGGACTATGTTGCTTCTGTTTGGGGGTGGGCCGAGGTGCAGTCCCGGGGCAGGAAATGAATCAGGTTCATGCTTCTCTACCTACACGACTCAAATAAGCCAATACCTATGGAGCTAGTGTACCTTCCTAAACATATGTGGCAATGAGGAAGCTTGAATCCTCACACTCATGGACTAGATTTGGCCCCTGGCCACATGATTTTAATGACTAATAAAGCACCTGTCCCAGGTGTCAACCCCACATGAATTTCAGGGAGCGTTGTCATTTATGTCCTGTACACACCTCTGGTTCATGATTCTGGGAAGAGCTAATCACTGTGCTGACAAGGATTGCTTTTTCTCTGACCTGAGATACAAATAGACTAGCCTAGAAAGTTGCTTTGTATAGCTTCTTGTCGTCAGGATTTACTGCTTATCTTTCAGAGGAGGTAGAGAAGACAGGGAAGTGGATGAATCATTATAGTCAGGTGCCCGGCTCAGCCATTTTACAATGATTCATTCCTCTGGGCCCCTCCAGGTCCAGGTGCTGAGCAAGACCACCTGGCTTTACCTGAGGAAGGCACCCAACACTTCTCACACTTTACACTTCCTCTCCCTACTTTATTGACATTTGTAAAACTTACATGTTGTCCCAATTCGAAAATGCTATTGGTAGTGGTTCCTTAGGCCTCTTTTACCTTTTATACCCTGTTTCTCGTGGGAGTGACAGCTGTGTGGAATAGCTGGGTCGGTGCTGCTCTGGGGGCTCCAGTGAGCTTGGCACATGGCACTCAGAAGAACTGAGACATTGAGGCAGAGAAGCATCGCTGCATGTGGGTAGGAAGGTCTGGAAAACTGAGATGAATAGTGTTTTTGTTTTCTGGATTCACCTGTAAGTAGTAGGTGATCTCAGAATATTGGGTTCCTTCATGTAGTCAACAAACTTTTATTGAGCCCCAAGTATGTGCCAAGGAGCTTGGGATATATCAGTGAACAAAAGAGAAAAAAAATTCCCTACCTTTGGGGGAAAGACAGTAAAACAATTAAATATTGGGTTGTCAGAAAAGTCATGACGCATTTTTGCAGTGAAAAACATAGAAAAAATACGTCATGACTTTTCCGACAACCCAGTATATACTTGGCTCAAAGTTATAATTGCTAAGGAAAAAAGTAGAACAGCATGGAAGTTGGTGAGCAGTGATATTTAAATGGGGTCATTGAAGTAGGTGACTCTGGGACAAAGACTTGAAGGTGAGAGAGTGAGCTCACGCTTGTCTGGGGAAGAATGCTCTAGGTAGAGAAAACAGTACTGCAAAGGCCAGAAAACAGACAGATATGCCTGGGGTGCTAGAGGAACAGCCACTCCAGTGTGACCGGAGCAAGTGAATGATGGGGTCAGAGAGGGACCAGAGGCCAGATCATGGCAAGCCTCAGAGACCATTAGGACTGAGACTTCTGCTCTGTGCACAGTGCGGAGCCCGGGAAGGGTTCTAAGCAGAGGAGTAAAAAGCCTATCTGTTTAAAGATCCCCTGGCTGTTGTATGGATTGTAACCGTAGACAGGCCACTTAAACTGTCTTGACATTTGTGTTCTGGTCCAGAAGTTAAGATTTCAAGTCAGGGAGATTTGGGTATTTGTTTTGAGACCGGAGGACATCCGTTTAGTAGATGGAGAGCACAGCTGTTGGTCAGGATGAAGGATCTTCGAAAGAAAACACCGTGTTGGAGATGGGAAGCACCACTAGATGGCAACAGAGAACCAGGAGGACGTTTACACAGGCCTCGGGCTCCTCTGGTTCAACTTCAGTGAGACCTTGGCTGTGGGAACAGCATTCGCTGCTTTGTTAATGTGCCTGAATCTCTGCAGTTTGAAATTCTGGATAGAGAATTATGCCGCTGCTGCTGTAGAAATGCAAATGTGTGGCGATAAAATCCATGGTTTAAAGCGAACTGTGGGTAGAATGCAGATCAGCACAGGCCAGTCCAGCCCTGGACTGGAGGCTGGGGTTAGGGGAGGGGGTGGGAGGCCAAGAGCTCATTTGAATTCCTAGCCCAGACGCCTTCTCACTTCTCATTATTCTGGAGTGAGACGTTTCCCAACCACGACTTGCACTGCCCTCTGCTCTTGTGTTTTCCTGTCATTATAATGATCCTAGTTTGCTCTTCAACTTCATTATGCTGGGTTCTTCAAAATTCTGCCTTAGTGCTATGTGAAAGTAAAATAAACACAGCCCCCACTGTCTCAGATCAAAGGAAGAGACAGTAAAGGTTTAGGTTTGCACATAAGATTGGAGGAGTTGAAACTACCCTCTGCACAATTCAAGCTAAAACCCTTACTTTGCCTGAATTATTCGGATAAGACAGGTGATTTTATTGATTTGCCTCAGCTATCCAGCTTCCAAGGTCTGCTTCGCTTTGCACAGATAAATTTGCCATTTTTTTTCTTCACTACATGCATGGGGCAAGGGGAAAAGATGGGAGAAGAAGGAGACAAGGTTAGGGAGAACAAAAGGAGTAAGGCATCTGGCCAAAGGCTGGTTGGAGAGTCTGGCAGAAGAGAGAAGAGAATAATTAGAGAAACGGGAGCAGAAGACAAAATGGTGGGAGAGAAGACAGAAGGGGAGAAAGGCCCTCACACGCGCAGCCTCTATCCAGTGATATGAGGTAGCTACCCCAGCCTCCTTCGTATTCGATTGCCACAGTCACTGCTCTTGGCCTAACTTCTTCCCAGGCTGCTGGGGTGTGAGTGTGTGTGAGTGTGTGTGTGTGTGTGTGTGTGTGTGTGTGTGTGTGTGTGTGTGTTTAAGGTCATTAGGGCGGGTGTTGTGAAAATCCCAGCAGTGCCAGGTGGACCTCTGCCTGCCTTCCCCACAGGACAACAGCTGCTGCTTCCTCTAGCCTGCACTGAGATGGGGTGAGGGGGGCTGGGACAGAGGAGGGCTGGGCCTGGATTGGTGCCCACCCTTCAGAGCCCAGTGTGTCTCTCTTCCGGAGTTCCACACAGCCTCTGGATACCGATGGAAAGCCCATGAGAGTTTCCCTCCAAGCAGGAGCAGATCTCAGTTCTGTTATCCTAATTTTGTTGCTCCTAGGACAAGTAAAGGTAATGGGCTCATTTTTGTAGACGGGGAAAGTGAAAAAAACAGCAAGTGGGGGTCTGATGTGGAACTTGCTTTGGGTCTTTGAATTCTCACGACCTTTCCTGGAACAGCTGTGGGTTGGAATCCTTGGCTCCCAGACCGATGTCTTTAGACAATCCAGGATGCAGGAGAGGGGAACCTGGTCTGGGCTGGAGGCAGCCCTTGTGAAAGGTCCAATAAGCCATTGTCAGCTCCTCATTTATCAACAGAATAAAACATAAATTCTTTAGCCTGATGTTCAAGGTCTGCCACAATTTGACAAACCTGCCTTTCCAACTTTTTTATCTCTGACTTTTCTCCCACTGAGTACCTCAACCCTAGTCAGGCTGGTTTTCTCCCTTTCCTCAAACATACCTTTCATAATTCTCTTTATCTCCATTTAACTCTTATCTGTTCCTTCAGATCCACCCGAAGGTCCCAGGATGAACCCTACCCCCAAAAACGTGCTCTGATTCTCCCAATTCAGAGGGATCTTTCTCACCTCTAAATTTCTACATTTGCTGTCTTTAAGACAAACATTTCTGCTTTGAAGCATTGGTTATTTCTTCACTTTTTTTTCTTTTTAAAGATTTTGTTGGGGAATTGGGGAAGGGGAACAGTCAAGTTGTTGTCCTTCAATCATAGTTGTGGAGAGCGCAGCTAGCTCAGCTCCAAGTCCAGTCGCCATCTGGCCATCCGTCAGCAGCTTGTGGCTGCTCAGCTCAAGGTGTAGTGTTCAATTTTAGTTGCGGGGGGTGGGGTGGTGGTGGTTGGTGCAGCCCACCATGCCATGCAGAAGTCGAACTGGCAACCTTGTTGCTAAGAGTACATGCTCTAACCACTGGGCCATCCGGCCGCCCACTGGCAGCTCATGGCAGTTCAGCTCAAAGTGACGTGTTCAATCTTAGTTGCGGGAGGAAGTAGCCCACCATCCCAGCTCGTGGCAGCTCAGCTCAAGGTGCTGTGTTCAATCTTAGTTGCCGGTGGGTGTAGCCCACCATTCCACGTGGGAGTCAAACCGGTGACCTTGTTGTTAAGAGCATGTGCTCTCACCAGCTGAGCCATCCTGCCACCTGTTAGCAGCTCAGTGGCAGCTCAGCTCGGGCACAGCTCACTAGCCATGTGGGAATCGAACTGGTGACCCTGTTGCTTAGAGCTCACGCTCTTAACCAACTGAAACACTCGGGCAGCCCTCTTTATATGTATTTTTCTTTTCCCTCCAATTTAGACTGTCAATTCCCAGAAGACAACGACCATCTGTTACACTTCTTTTGTACCTCCCACAGGATACAGTATAGTGCCTTGCAGATAAATTATCTTAACTGATTCAGCTTCTGGGTTAGAAGGCGTTCACTCTGCCCCCGAAAAATCCCAGGCCCAGGTGGGATCACAACCGACCCATAGTATTGGTTAGCAGATTGAGGAACTGACAATGCAGCTCCTAGACAGCAACCCTGAAGTTGTGGTGAAGCTATGGCAAGAAGTTGAGATGTCTAAAACATTCTTTGGGTTCAGGGACAACCCAGGCACTGTCCATGACACAGTATGCTATTTGAGAAACTTGAATTGGACAGGGCAAAAAGTGGTGCCACTGAGATTGAGGTGAGCTCACTTGGGGAAATGTGTTGGGGCTCCCCTCAATCATACGAAATCACCCCTGCACCTGCCACTCTAGCCAGTTGTTCTAGAAATGCTTACTCTTGGGGAGGGGAGGGGAGGAAAGAATGTACAGATGACTACATGTAGAGAGTCACCTTTACAGGAAAAATACTAGAAATTGTTTCAGTGGTGTACTATCAGTACTCCTTTTTGCTGATAGAAAAACGAGTACCATTACAAGCAAAATCTAACAAACGTGTTTCTAAATCCTGGATATTTACCACCCCTTTTTAATACATAAGGTATAAGTAAGTCTGCACTTTTTAGGAAATCTGGTTCATTGGACCAGGGTTTCTCAATTTCAGCACTATTTACATTTTAGTCTGGATGATTCTCTGTTGGAAGCTGCCTTGTGCAATGTCAAGTGTTTAGCGGTATCCCTGGCCTCTCCCCATTTGATGCCAGAAGCACCTCCCTGTTGTGACGGCTAAAAATGTCTTCAGGCTTGACAAAATTGTCCCCCACTGATAACCACCGAATGTAACTTATGACCTTTAGCAAGCTGCTGTCCCTCTCTAAAACTTAGTTTCTTCATCCCTAGGGTAATTCTTGGTGTAATGGGGTAGCAATTCCACAAATCTTAGGCTTAGGGAGCAGATGAAGCCATGACAAGGATGTCAGAATAGAAGAAGCAATCCTATGGGTCAACACCTCTAGGATAGGACCTTAAATACCAGACTACTAGGATGGCAGTTTGAAAACCGAAGGCCCATAGCACATCAGCACTTTTCCTGGCCCTGTGCTCATGCCTTTGTAACATACGTGTGTCTTTCCTACTGAGTTGTAAGTTTAATCTGGACTGCAACTGTCTTATTTACCTTTATATTTCCCCCAAAATTGTCATAGTGCTTTTCAAATGGTATGTAACAATTATTAAAAAATAATTTGGGGGCAGCCGGTTAGCTCAGTTGGTTAGAGTGCAGTGCTCATAACACCAAGGTTGCTAGTTCAATCCCCACATGGGCTATTGAGTTGTGCCCTTCACAACTAGATTGAAATAGCTACGTGACTTGGAGCTGATGGGTCCTGGAAAAACACACTGTTCCCCAATAAAATTAAAAAATATAAAATATATTTACAGTAATCAACATGGTAATGGCTAATAATAGAAAACTTTGTGAAGATGAATTTTAAGTCAGGTGTCAGAGAGAGCTCTAGATTGGGGGTACAGCGGGGATGGGGAAGGTCACTTGGTTCATTTGGGAAATGAAAGAAGCTTTGCAGATGTTAATTAAGGCAAAAAAGTGAGTTGGTGTAGAACCTAGGAGACCATTCCCATTTATATATTGTCTAATGGTTAAAAGGCATTTTCATGCTGACCATCTTATTTTATCTTGTAGCCTCATGAGGTAAGGAAGGTATTAATTCCATTTTATGGGAGAGAAAACACAAATTCAGTAAGTTATCTGATATCAAGTCCTGAACTCTTTCCTCTACAACGTGCTATTCCATTTCTATAATTGTGTGTGCAGAGTTGAGCGGTGGTGGGTGAGTAGTGAATGAAGTGAGAGGAAGACCAAGATGCATGAAAGGACCCTTCCATTTCTTAGGGAAGCTGCAGCCTTGAGCAAATAAGAAGTGACATGCTTTGAAGTGGGGACATCACAATAGTAGGCTTCCTCAGAGACTCGAGTCAGCCAGGCTCAGGCACCACCCTGCATGGGCTCCCATTTGGTGTTCACTTGTAGACCAGCCTGAAGGACACAGATAGCCATCTGCCTGTGTGGGCTTTACCCTCACTTGCGTGGCTGTGCACACTTCCATGGGGAGGTCTTCCAAGGGGAGCCTCGTTATACTGGATCTCTGGGCTGAGTTTTTGCATGAGCTAGTTCAGTGGAATTGATGGGGGCGACAGTGGGAGGAGGAGAAGGGAAATATTCTGGGTAGAGAAGACGCCATGAGCAAGGACATGGAGGTGGGGAGAGGCACCACGGGGGAAGCAGGCCGCCATGGAGATACAGGCGGGGGCTTGATCATGGAAGGTCTTACATCCTCTGAGGGGTAGAGCCTTACTGGAGTTGGATTATGTGTAGTGTCCAGGGGCAGGGAGAGCCCAAGCAGAAGATTTAGGAATGGAAGGGACAGGTTTAGGAAAAGTTTAGATAAGATTGCCGGGGCTGCATGACTGATGGATCATGTTCATATTGAGTCTCACCATGTGCAAGGCACAGCACTGGGCTAAAAGTTCTTGAGATACATCTTTTTTTTTTTTTTTTAAGATTTTTATTGGGGAATTGGGGGATGGGAACAGCGCTGGGGAATTGAGGGAAGGGGAACAGACAAGTTGCTATCTTTTTGTTGTTCAATCTAGTTGTGGAGGACGTTGCTTCACTGGCCCAAGTTGGCACCATCATTGTGCTCTTCTCACGTGAGGCAGATCAGTCGCCGGCTTCTGGATGGCTGCTCACAGCAGCTTGAGGGCCGCTCACGCTGGCTGCTTGCTATACACGGTAGCCCATGGCAACCCACTGCAGCAGGGGCTGCAGCCTACGCCGTCGCCAGCGACCCTCAGCAACCCAGCTCCAGGCTGAGCTGTTGTTTAGCATTTTAGCTGTAGAGGCCAGCGTCACTGGCCCTCATATGTGGGATCGGAAGCGGGGCCCTCTGGCGTCCCAAGCCAGCTTTTAACCAAGGCGCCACTCGGCCGGCCCTTGAGATATATCTTAATGAATCCTAATACTACCACAAGGTATGAAAGATTATCCTCATTAACAGATGAAGAAATCGAAGGTTATAGTGTTTTAGTAAACTTTGATTGACAGTGCACAGCCTATAAACAGCAGAGCCTGGATTCAGTTTCTGGTCTGTTTTCCTCAAAGCTTTGCTCTTAATTATCATGTAGACACTGCCTCCCCACAGGTGGAATTAGAGGGAGAAAAGGGTCTAGGATCCCTCTCAGATTTCTTGTATAGGTAACTGAGGAAGGTGAGATAGACAATAGAGGAGAAGAAAGTTGTGGGAAGGACGGGTTCAGTTTTGGACTGTAAGAAAGAGCAAGTTGGAGGGAGAAGGGTATGAATGAGGAACACCAGTACGTCTCTCTGCACCCACCCCTGAACTACACATTGGCCTTGGAGCACTCAGCGTTCTGCATTCTGACTGCCCGCTCCAGGGAGACTATGGTAGGTTCTCCTGGGAGGAAGCCCACAATCTAGCTCACACCCTGCAGGGAGACCAGGCTGAAAGACCCGTGGACGTCAAGGACTGTGGCTGGCAGGCTCTGGGGAGCTGGCTCTTTGCTTCTGATGAAGGGGCAGGTGTTGATGAAAAAGAGAATTAGGAGCCCGGCCCTTTCCTAACATGACAGACAACAGCGAGAATCTGACCCACTGGGCTCAGGTGGCCCACAGCCCCTCAAAGTCCAGGCTATGCTGTTTAATCCGACTGGACAAGTTTGAGGCTTCAGGGTTAGCATACAAAAATTTCCAGGTGTGCTCTGACTCCAAAAGGGCCTGAGGCTGTCGGTGAGGGAGTTGCTGTGATCCTTGTCATTGTGATTGTTGTGAAGTAGGTGATGGGGACAGTGTGAGGTCCACAGGACATCTTTGATTTTCAGAGCAGCAGCACTTGGGTGGGAGGTCCGTGCGTGTGCATGGCCTCCTGGGCTCCTGTGAGTGGGATGAGAGAGTGGCAGACGCTCTGTTCTCGAAGGGTCAGGAATAAGCAGCACTTTGTTCCTCAGAAACATTATAGTGCTTTTCTTCTCACCTTTCTGCAGGAGCAGGGCCTATGGACCGGAGAAAACATCAAAGAAAGCCCAAGAGCTTAGGGACTTCTGGCAAGAAGGCTGGAACTAAGTGTTCTTATGATACCAGAAAAGAGACCAGATAGCAATGTCTCTTTCCACTCACCCATCCAAGCCCCTCAGCACAGGGGCTTCTCAAATTCAGGTACGTGTTCTTCTCCCAGACTGGTCTTTATCCAGAAACCTTTCCAGCCTCTTCTCACCTTTGGGCTGTCCTTGGCCTCAGGCAAGAAGAATCCCTGCATGTGGCCCTGCTCATCTTCCAGCTCCTGTCCTTTCTCCAGAGCAACAGAGAATTGCAGCTCAGCCTGTTTCTTCCATTGCCTCTGCATTTTTTACCAGGTTTGACTGAGGCCGGGGACAATTGAGAAGAGTTGCTCACCCAAGGACCAGCCGGATTTTTTTCTGTAAGTGTTACAGCTCATGGACTGGGTGAGGCTGAGACTGTAGGTGGACCAAGGGAGAGAGGGAATGGCTAAAGGTGGCTGACCAGCTGGGTGACCTTAGGCAAGTGTCTCCTCTCTCTAGTGCATGGGGTCTAGGGCTGGATGGTCTCTGAGGCATAGTCCAGCTCTTAGGATGTATGAGAAAGCACACAGTAAAGGCTAAAGGCTGGGGGAATGCTGGAGGCTCTGGGAAGAGGCAGACAATCACTGAACGCCCACCTTTGCCTCCAACCACCTTACCTCTACCAGCAGGAAGAATGGCACTAGCTGTGGCCCGGCTCCTGTTCCTCCAGCTTGTTCTGGGACCAACTCTGGTCGTGGACATCAGGCTGCAGACTGCCGTCGAGAACTTCCGCAATTCACACATTGACTATCCCAGGGCTAACTACCCAATGGGTTTCCAGGGCTACTGTAATGGTATGATGGCCTATGTGCGGGGCAGAGAACAAAGATGGTATTGCCCAAACATCCATTACATGATACATGCCCCCTGGAGAGCCATCCGTAAGTTCTGCAAGTACAGTGAAAGCTTCTGTGACAATTACAATGAATATTGCACACTCACCCAGGACACCTTTCCCCTCACAATCTGCTCTCTGGTCAAACAGCCGCCCACCAGCTGCCACTACAATGGCACCCTAACCAACCAAAGGCTCTATCTGCTCTGTTCCCGAAAGTATGATGCTGAACCGATAGGTATCATTGGCTTCTCCTAGGGAATGGAGGCTTTCATTCTAAACCACCCCCTAGTGTCCCCATTGCCAAAAGTCTCATCCCTGGTCTAAGCCTTCCTCCATGACTTCGAGGGCAGGCAGGGTCCCCTCCCAAGAGACCAGAGAGGTAGGAAAAATGTTCAGAACTTTGGTCACCATGCGAAGTCATACTGTCTCCTAGGCTCTTTCCAACTTGTTTACCTCCCCCCTCCCATTATCCTCTCTCTCCCACAGACAGTTGTACCCACCCAAGAAGCCGACTGTGTCCAGTTGGCAGTGACTGTCCATCCACTGGGCCAAATCCTGAATTCTGGATGGAGGCCCAGAGCCTCAGCTCACACCATGGCAACAGGCACCCAGTTCCACGTCTCAACTCCCCGTCCCCATCACCCTTTTCTTCTCAGCCTTCCTCATTCGCTTTATGCCTCCCTCCACTCCCTCACCCACACCATGGGTCTCTCCGGCTACAGGAACCCCTTCCTGAGACTCTTAGGTTCATTTTAGCCTCACTTCCCCAGAATCCCCCTCAGTTCCCAGTCTGTTCCTCTCTATGAAATCATTGATCTTTTCTTCATGTAACCTGTCCTTTCCTCCCTCCTTTTACCATGGAGCCCAGAGCAGCCTCTCTCCGACACTCGCAGCCTCCTTTCGTCACCGTCTTCTCCAACCTCTTTTCCTTTTCCTCTCACAGGCTCACCGGAGTTTCAAGTTACCTTCTTTGACCTATCCCCCCGAAGACTCCTATATCCTGTTCCTTTCCAAAGCTTCTCCTGATGTCTTCCAAACTCTAGGATCTACTGCTGACAAGATGGGTGAAGTGGGCCTAGCTGTAGTTACAGAAGGTTTTTTGTTTTTGTTTTTTTTTAACTTGGTGTGCCCCGACCTATTTCAAAAGGGATAAGAAGCTGGAAGGGTGGATCAGATCGTGGAGGGCATGCCTCAGATTTGAGAAGCACCCAGAAGGCTTTAAAGACACATCTGAGTTATGTAAGATATCACCATTGGATGAAACTGGGTGAAGGGTACATGGAACCTCTCTGTACTATTTTTGTATCTTCCTGTGCATCTATAATCATTTAAAAATAAAAAGATGAAAGACACATCTGACTCAGTTCTAATTTCATCCCTTTTTCCTCAGTGCACTAGAACTCCTGCTCTTGAAGTCCTGGAGGTTCCCCACCCTGGCCATCTTCCTGGTCTACCTGTAGCAATCGATAGGCTCTTCTGTTCCATGTGAACTATGATGGAGGTGCAGTGGGGGTAAAACTCACTTCAGGCTAGGTGTTGCCAACAGAGTATCCCTTCCCCCAGCTCTGGGACAAACTTGTAATAGGAATCAGCCTAAGTAGATCCTTGGCCCACTTTAGCTGGCTTCTATTTCTCCCCCAACAAAACCTGCATTGCAGTAGACGAGGAAAGTGAAGGGACAGGGGTCTGGTTAGTGGTATCTGGGTCATCCTTCATCAGATCAGGAATTGCTACTCCCCTTTGGCGGGTAGAAGGGGGTGCATACCAGTAATATGTGAATGCAAGTAGCAAATACTTTTGCCTCCACAGTTGGTTTATCTCTTACCTCCAAATATATTCCACAGCTCTGATCTTAGAAGAGTTGTTTAGGGGAATGCTACCTTATGGCTTGGAGGCATCAGGCTAAGTAGGGCAAGAAATGGAGAGCTGGAAACCCCGACTCCTTGGGCTTTCTCTCCCCTCCTCTCTCTCTCTGTACACCCAAAGGCCCACCCATCCCTCACTCTGGTGGCAGACAGAGATCATGAGCTGTTGCACACACAGATGTTTATTGTTCTCCAAGCCTCCCGATGTTAAAGATGCATGGTCAAGGGCTGGCAGACTAAGATGAAGCTGCTCCCTACTTGTCCTTTTTGTCATAGGTGCCGGCACCCGTGTAGCCACTCACATAGCCTGAGTTGTCAGTCATCTCTTCCCGTCCTGCGATGCCTTTGCCCTTGCCACTCTCGTCAAAGCGCTCCTTGTGGGAGCCAGTGTACTTGCTGGTGTCTGTCAGTCGGCTCACCCCACCCACGGTAGTTGCTTTCTGCAAGCCAGAGGATAACGGGTCTGATCCCCTTTCCTTCCCATCCACTATCACACCCCTTCTCTAAAGATGGTTTTTGATTCTGCTGGTTCTCAGAGCTCTTGTTCTACCTATGGCATGGTGCTGCTTTCTCAGGGCCCAGATGCTGCCATGGGCAGGAACTGTGACAAAAGCCACCCACTCATGGGGGAGGAGGAGTCTAGTATATGGGAGTGAGTGGACTATGTGTGGATTTTTCTGCTTCCAGGGGAGTTATTTTGGCCAGACTGAAGCCAGATAACTTCAACCCCAGGCTCAATATGCAAGGTCCCTCCTACAGGGTAGGTCTTATTTGAAACCTAGAGTAGAAAGAGCTCTTAGTAGAGAGGGGACAGATAGGAAACAGAGAGTGGGTGAGAGGCAAGAAGTCAGAGATTAGACCTTACATAAGAGCAGGAAGAGAAGTGGGGATCAGGTACCAAGTTCTCTGCACTCAGTGTCCATCAGGCCCTAGTTGCCCAGCTCAAATGCTGGACTCTTGGGAATGAGTCTAAATTTGACGATTATAATAGCTGTGGACCTTGGGCAAGTCACTTCCCCTCTCTGGGCTACAGTTTCCTCACCTCTGAAATGACTAGATGATCTCTCAAGTCTGTTCCAGTACCAACAGTGCCACAGAGGCTTTCTGCCCTGTCCCCTGACAGTACCACTACTGGCGGGCGTAAGGGTGGGAGAGGAAACGGAGCATAAGAGATTTAGGGAAGTAGGGTCAAGCATTAGGGATGAAGAATGACACTCACAGTAACACCCGTGATAGCTGGATCCTTGCCCTCCATGTGTTTATAAATGTTCTCCAGGGCTTCATCTGGGTTCTTCCCCTTGAACCGCTTCTGGCCCAGTTCCTTCATTGCTTCCTGGAACTGTTCAAATGTGATGGTTCGAGCATTCTTGGCCCTGGTCAGTGAGACAAATCCAGGAACTCTGGAACATGAACTCGTCACTTTCTAAGGTCCAACCCTCCCCTTACTCAGACTTGGCCACCTAGTGTCTGCAAGACAGGGAGTAGACAATGCCAGGTACCCAGTAGATGCTCAGTAGCCCCATTACAAATGGTCCATCACATGGACTCTTCCATGTCCCACTAGCTTGTTTGTTCTACTCACCACCCCCACTTCCATGTTTGGTTCCTTACTTGACTTTGCTGAACACAATGTCCACATCAGTGGAGGTGACTGTCTTGCCATCCATGATGCCACAGTCTTTGCACAGCTTGGAGAAGTTCTTGTTGTTCATTTCAGTGCCACTGCTTGATGACTCTCCGAAGACAGCAAACCGCTGGAATGTTTTTTCTGCTTCTGATGCCATGGTCAGCTGGAGGTGGGGGAGGACAGTAAAGGTGGAGACTCGGGGGCAGAGGAAGGAGGGGAAGGGAGGACTCAGGAGTAAGATGCATGGGGAGTTAAGATAAAATCTGAATCAGCAGTAGGAATAAACCCCTCCTCCCTGTTCCTCTCTCCCCACTTCCCTCTCACTCCCATCCCACCTACTGCTCTCAGCTCTAGAGATATTAGTGGAGATCCCACATGCTGAGTAATCATCACCACCACCCACGTCCCCACTTTTGGTACCTAAGAGTGTCCGGATGGTGTCTGACCCTTCCCAGCCTTTGTATGTAAGTGTATGCAGATATGTGGGAACCAGCTGGCTGGGGAGACTATGTGGCAATGCAGAGACAGAAGTGGGGAGGAGAGGGAAGTTTCTATGACCTCAGTAGTGTTTCTGTGACATCACCTCAGCTACAGCCCTAGTTTTGGGGGGGAGGGGTCTTTTGGTTTTCCTACCTTGCATGTTGCATTGAGCAAGTTGCCAACCTTCTGATCTCTGCAGATGATCCAACTTCCCTCATCATTCCAGTCCAGCTTGACCAAGTCCTCTGGGTCCTGGTCAAATTACCTTATGCTCCTGCCCCTCAACAAAAGCTGAGGAGAGCTGGGGGGAGGAGTTAATAAAAACAGGTTGGCATCAGTCCAATATTACTCTCCAGGCCCAGGCCAACAGGGAGAATCCCACTGGCTTTGGCAGACTAACCTCAGTAAGAGCTTTAAATGGTGTCCAATGTTGGGCCTAATATGGAAAGGGCACAGGCCTTAGAGTATAACAGATCTGGGTGGGTCAGGGTGAAATAGGTCAGAGTGAAGGTGGGTCTGACTCTGAAATTCTTCCAGATAAGTTTCTGTGCAGGTCAAGAATTTTCCTTAGGGGTTCCTCTAGCCTTTTCTCTAGCCAGAAACCATCTAGATGGGTGAATGTCAGAGATCCCAAAATAGAGCAACTAGGTTGGCGACTTCCCTCTCCTTTCTGTCTAATCAGTCACCAATTCCCATGAATGTTTTTTCCTTGTCTTACAAATCCATTCCTTTCTTTCCATTCCTATTACTCCCATACATGAAGTCCCTATCATCTTATATCTAGTTGATTACCCTAGCTTCTAAATGACCTCTTTACTAAGTTGAATTCTTCACCCCCACCCACCCCATAATCCATCTCTATTACCCCCCATCAGATTAATTTTCACAAAACTATTTTTTATCCATTACTCCTGCTCAAGAACTTCTGCTCTATGCATCTTTGGTGTCAAACCTTTTTGCTTGTCGTTTAAGGACCTTCACACTTGACCCCAACCTACCTTACCAAATATAAGCCACCTCTCATCAACATTATTCTTCATCTGGGGCCATAATGGCCTAATCATTATGTGCTTGAGAGGCTACCTCATAGTGGAAAGAGTATACATAGCCTTGGAGTGGAATGATTCAGAGTCAGGACTTGAGTCCTAGATATGTCCTTTACTGGCTGGTTGGCCTTGGGCAAGTCACTAAACATCTCTAAGCTTCAGTTTCCTCATATGTACAGTGAGGACAATATTTATCCTATAGTATTGGGGAATACTACACGGGAAGTACCTTGCAAAAAGTAGCTACTATTCCATTCTTCAAAATAACTGTATATTTCTGCCCCCAAACTTTCCCTCAGGCTCTTCTTGGATAGAATGCCCCTCTCTCCTACTCAAATACTCCATGGTTGCACTCCTCATAGGGTGGTTCACCCTAGGAACTGAAGCCTTTTCCTCCTCTGAATTATACTAAGACAATGGATCCTAGCCTGTGTGGGCTGCAGTCTACTGGGGTGAGGATTTCTGAATTATTGCAAGGGCTCCTGGAATCTATATGTACATAGAAGATCACCAATGAATAAATAATATTCATTTGCACACGTAGGTATTACTATATACATAGATGATGTGGTTATCAGAATACTGTACAAACTTACTTGAAAGTATTGCTGAATTAATGGTTATCTCTATCAGAAGATACTAAAACCAAGATGTGGGGATGGAACTCTCTGATCTCCCACTTGAGAAGGGTGGGAAACTATTGCCATAGGATTTATTGTCTAAACAATTCATCTTATATAAAGATCGTTTTTCTTGACTTTTTCTCTCTTTATAGCTTCTCTCAACTATTCGAACATAAGCTTCTAGACTACAGAGAGTATGATTAGACTTTACACTTCTTTGAATTCCATCTATACAGTGGCTTGCATACATAGCAGGTACTGAAAACTGTTGCTTAGTTGAAGGCACCGTTTGAAGCTGCTTCTGGCCTAAGAAACGGAAGTTAGAGAGGTTATCCTTGTTGGGCCACTTACACCAGGGTTGGGCTAGGACCTGCCCTGACAGAGAGTAACCTTACCTTAGGGGCAGAAGCAGCCTCATTTCTGCCTGCAGACTGAGACCCCTAGGACTAGGAAGCTAATAGATCCCCAGTGGAAATTTCCCACCTCCTGCCTGCCCCTGCGTAGGCCCCTTATCAGGTTCCCCCTGAGTCATCCTGACCTAGAGACGAATTTAGATGCTGGAACCTCCAGGTCCTTCCCTCCCCCACTCCAAGTAAGACTACTTTAGACACATCAGAGAAAGCAGCAAACAAAAGTTCTAACTCTAGACATTCTTTCTCACCCAGTTCCAGGAGGGCTGGTAAGATCTGTCTCCTTTCCTAGGCATCTTTATGTATGCTCTAATTCCAGCAGGTTTTCCTTGTTCAGGAGAGTGTTAAACTGGCATCCAGAGGGGAGAAGGGACTAGGCAAGAAGCCAGAGTGTCCAGCTTCTGTGCCAGTTTCTGGGAAAATAGCTATGAAGGGAGTGGGGGAAGGAAATAGAGGAAACCTTGGGTGCTCCAAATTAGGGAATGTAGGGGGGTCCTTTAGATTTGGGATTGTTGAAAGCTGGCTTTTATCCTGACCAGTTCTCCTACTCTGGGTTACCTCCTTTCTCTTAGCCCCTCCTTCTTTCCAATAGACCCTGCCAAGTGGGGATGAAAGGGGCATTGATGTTCCTTGGATGAGGGGGGGAGGGGGTTGTGGGCGGTGAGGGGGTAGTTCCCAGGCAGGAGGGCAATTTGGGGGTCTTGGGGGGTGGCAGTCTCTGCTGGTGTTGCAGTTGGCAGCTTCAGTTCCATTGGCCATTGTTCCCAACTGGCCTGGTGCCCAGCCCCCAAATGGCAACTCAGGAACCAGGCTGAAGGAGAATGGGGTGGGGACCCTGGGGGGAGGGGAGCTGGAAGGGGTGCTGGTGGGGAGACATTCAATCTGGTTTCCTTTTGTCTAAGGCAACTTCGAATTCCCTTAGCCACATCACTATCCCATTCAAGGTGGCCTTCCTCTTAGGGGCACAGGGAGGGTGCACCTAGGTAGGGCGATGGCAGAGCAAGTGAGGAGTCCAGGGGAGCAAATGCACCCAGGCCCTCAGAGAGACGCAGCAGTCCCTGAGAAACCGTCGCCTGGGCATTGCGATTCGGTTGGGCCGAGCTGGTCTCACCTTCCTTCTTTGGGCCGGACTAGGAGGGGTTAGCGCCGAAGCCACAGGGTCTCTTGGGTTCCAGCCCGGGACACTGCGTCCTCCTCAAGCCCCCACTCCACCCTCGCAGAGTAACTCCGCCTCCGCGCCTGTTTACCCCAGAGTCAGAGCTCCTGGGGGTCCCTGGCCCCTCCCCCCGCCCCCCCTTGGGGCCTTGACCCGGGACTCCCCGTTGGCCATCCTCTTCCCCCCTCTTGCAATCTCCCTCTATTTATAGCGGTCCCCCGCATTCCCCGCCCCCCCTTCTCCGCCTTGTTTTCCAACTTCTCTGGGAGCAGCCGGACAGCAGGCGTCAGGACGCAGCAGAAAGAGGAGGTACCAGGACCCTGGGCGCCCCGGAGTTGGAACTCCAGCTCCCTCGACGTCCCCCCCACCCCCACTCCCCAGTCAGTGCTGGCACACCTGCCCCTCCCAGCTGGCGAGACCCCCACCTCCTCTGCAGCGATCCCCGCCCACCTCCTCCTTCCTGAACCAGGCTCCTTCCGGGCAGGCGGAGTCGAAATCGTGGGTGTCAGCACCCTGGGTTCGCCTCCCCCTACTCGACCCCTCAAATGAGTATGGGGGCGAAGGAAAGGGGCCACAGTGCGACAGGCAGACCCAGGTCACGGGTGGGTGGTGTTGAGGGCGGCCGTGGGGATTCCCCGTAGGACTCAGGGATCCCTGCACACCCCACGACCGCCTGGTTGCGAGAGGATGTGTAGGGAGCGCGCGCGGACACTGGAAGCACCCACAGTTTGCTTTTCTTAGAGTTCCCCTCCACCGCCCCCGCCCGCACAGTCGCCCTCCGGAGCGGCAGACAGCCTGGGGCGGGGTAAGGGGGGCGTGTTTACTGGGGGTCTGGGGCGGATCCGCGGGGAGCTGGCGGCCGGTGGGCGGGCCGGGGGCGGGTCTGCGGGGAGCCCGAGTTCGGGCGGGCCGGAGAGTCAAAGGCAAGTGAAGGTGGAAGCGGCCGCGGAGGCAGCAGGTAGGGGGAGGGGCAGGCGAGGGGCCGAAGGGCCTGGCTGGCGCCAGCAGGGCCGGTGGGCGGTTTGATCCTAATCTCTGGTAGCCGACCGCTGGGGGAAGGGGCCCGCGAGGAGGGGGCGCTGGGCTGCTGCGCACAAAGACGAGGTTCGGCGAGCAGCAGGGCGTGTTTGGGGCGTGCGCGAGGTTGTGTCCAGGGTCCAGGGAGCTCAGTGCCCGCCGCGCAAGGATGTCGGTCCCCACGCGGGCGGGCAGCGTAGGGACTCGTACAGACCGGTCCCGGGTGCTGGGCCCGGTCAGTCCCATTCCTCCTATCCATCTTGCCCAGCTGACGCTCGGCCCTTGCGGGTCGTCAGTCAGGGGAGGCTGGGAGGAGATTTTGGGACCGCCTTCCTCGCCTTTCTCCACTCGCGGGACCTACACCGAGACTGGGTGGAGGAGATAAGAGAAGGCACGAGGCTTTTAAAATTCTTTTTTTTTTTCATGGCGGAGGGAAGCAGCCATGCTCTGCTACCCCATCTCACTCGAGAGCTGTCAAAAGTTCTGGGGATCCCCTAGTCTCCACTTCTAGTTTGCAAATGGAAAATTGAAGCCAAGAGTAGTACTGACTGGGCCAAGGTCACACCAGTAGAGGAAAAGCCCGGGACTAGAATCCAGAGGCGCTGACACAAGCCACGCTCCTTTCTCCACATCAGCACTTCCTTCTTTCCTCGCCCCAGCCTGGACTTGACACCAGTTCTCCGTGTTCCCCGCAGGCCCCTCCAGCCTGTATTGGTTCTAGCTGAAACCTAGAGAAGATGTATTCACTGGACTCAGGGGTACAGACTGGGGAGGATTAGTGACCTGGGGAGGGTTGGTGACTCAGATAGTCCAGGTCTTGGCTGAGGGTTTCTTTCTGTCCCTAAAAGACCCAGGGTCTGTCTCCCATGTCATTCACCTCATTGCCTTGTTTTCTCAGACCCCAGAGCCAGGAGCAGTGAGAACCCTGACCCCTAACCCCATTGAATCCAGCCAATAGGAGCCCAGTAAGTGACCCCACCCCCAGGCTGCAGGCTCTTTACTGTGCATGTCTGCAGGCATGCTCTGCTCCTCACTGGCCCCACTAATGTTGAATATATGCTAATTTATTCAGTGGGGAGGGACAGCCTTGGGAAGAAGGGAGACTTTGGGTCAGTTGGGCACAGATGTCCCTTGTCCCTCTTTTCTTGTTTCTCCCCTCCCCCTCTTAGTCATGTTACTCAGGTCATTTTTAGCCCCTTTCCTTTTGAGCTGCTGACCTTGGGGCTTTAGTTGAAGGTTATAGTCAGTTGTGATGTCTCACTATTCATCCCTTAGTACTTTTGGAGTACCCAGTCACTGAGCCACGAGTTTCACCCCCTACCTAACTGGGGGTGTGGGGTGGCCCTTTAATACAGCCTGGGAAACTGGACTGTTGCTGGTCCACCCTGATATTTACTTCCAGAACAGGGGAGGAGGGTCCCGAGGTGTGGGTGTTGAGGGGAACAGTGGGGATGGCCAGTTCGAGGAGAAGTGCTGGAGAAGTGCTGTCCTGGTTCTTACACAACCCCTTCTCCCAGTGGCCTGGACATGGAGCTGGGGCAGGAAAGGCTTTCTGTGTCCTGGAGTCGTCTTCAGCTCCTGGGGCCACCTGCACCCTGCATTGTCCTGTCCTGAGAGAGGAGGCAGGTATTCAAGGAGATGTGGGAGTGTAGAGACAACCTCCCCAATCTCGGTGTTTCCTTACCCTGCCAGGCCACCATGACGGAGCTGCAGGAGGTGCAGATCACAGAGGAGAAGCCACTGTTGCCAGGGCAGACACCTGAGATGGCCAAGGTTATTAGATACTCTCTGATCCCCACACCCGAATTCCAGACCTCCAGGCATCCTCCTCATCGCCTACCTTTCCAAACCCAGAATCGCCTTCTAACCCACACCCCCACTTTCTCCACCTGTACCCAACTTTCTCTCCCTATATACCATAATTTGGAGTCCAGGCCTTTGTCATGCCACTGTACTAATCTTCATCCTTTCCATGTCTCTTGTCATCTTTCTGTCTCTGATCTCGTGGTCTCTCTTCCTACCTCTTTTTATCTGTGTCTGTCTCTCCATCTGTGACTCTACATGGCTGTGTGTTTCTGTCTGTGTGTGTCTCTCCCCAGGAGGCTGAGTTAGCTGCCCGAATCCTCCTGGACCAGGGACAGGTAACAGCTTGGGGCAGTCCCAGGGTGGGAGGAGGGGCTCTCCTCCCCCCACTACCTGGCTCTCTTTTCTGCTTCCTTCAAGTCCTGTCCTTTCCCATCCCCATCTTTTTTTCTTCCCTTTTCGCTTTTCAGAGTTCCTTGATGCTCTCCAATCTTTTATTATTCTTTTCCACCTTCAAAAATCATCTTTCACTGTCATATTTACCTGAACTAAATTCTTGCTGAGCGTATTGCTAATACTTTGTTCCCTTTTCCTTTTTTGCCCCACACCAACTCCCCAACTTTTGTGGAGGTCCTTCTGCCTCTTTTCCTCTCAGCCTAATTCCTACCTGATGGTGACCTGTTTTCCTGCAGACTCACTCTGTGGAGACACCTTATGGCTCTGTCAGTTTTACTGTCTATGGCACCCCCAAACCAAAACGCCCAGCGATACTCACCTACCATGATGTGGGACTCAACTGTAAGGATCTTCACTTCCCTTCCCACTCCTTTTGGGAAGAGCCTGGGGGGAGGGTCCGCATGGGCAGGAAGGGAGCCATGTGGCATGTCAAGGAGAAGTTCTCTCCTAGTCTGACTCTGGCATTGAAAGAAAGAGGGTGGGTTCTGACTCGGGGATACGGTCTCCTGTCTGATTCTACTGTTGGGGTTATGGGGATTCTCTTTAGATAAATCTTGCTTCCAGCCGCTGTTTCAGTTCGGGGATATGCAGGAAATCATTCAGAACTTCGTACGGGTTCACGTGGATGCTCCTGGGATGGAAGAGGGGGCTCCTGTATTCCCTTTGGGGTGAGAATTAGCTCCTTCCCTCCTTATCAGACTGTGAGGTACAGGGCAGGTATAGGGAGGATTGGACTAAGGGAGGAGGAAAGGGGGGGCAATGGTGATTCTGCGACAGGATGACAGTGGGGGCAGGTTGGTTTTTTCCTTAACATTCCTCTCTTCCCCAGATATCAGTACCCGTCTCTGGACCAGCTTGCGGACATGATCCCTTGTATCCTGCAGTACTTAAAGTAAGAAGCCTGGGGATCACTTCAAACCAGAGTTCTCTTTCCAGCACAAAGTGGCCTTTAAAACTCCTATGTCCACCAGGGTTCCTGGGCGAGTTTTGGTCTCTGGCCTAGATAGATCCTTCTTGGCGCCATGCTCCCAACCTGATTGTTGAGAGGAAGGAGGGTGGGTTTGGAAAACTGACTTGAGTCAGCCGAGCAGGCCTAAAGGATGGAGGACAGAAAAAGGAAGGGACTATGGGAGGCCCTGCCTCAGGCTGAGGAGGGATCAGGAAGCTAGAGAGGAAAAGGAGGGGGTGACATAATCCCTGAGGAACCAGACAGACCTGTCTCTGTTCCTCAGTTCCTCCCCCCCCCCCATATGCACACCTGGGAGCTGGGAGCCCTGTGTGTGAGGGAGAGTGGGAGAAGGAGAAGGCCAGGCAAGGCCTCCTTGGCATGTACATGAAGCACTGATGACTCCTGGCCTCTCCTTGGCTTGGCTTATCCTGGACACCAGAGACCCAGGCAGCTCTGGTTTAACCTTTGGCTCTCTTTAGCCCCACTCTTCCTGTTCCCTGAAGTCGTGTTGTGTTTTTTTTTTTTTTACATCTTGCTTCAAGTTCCCTTCTTTTCAGTTCCTCTAGAGGAACCAGGAACTAAAATGGAACAAGCTGAACTAGCTCCTGAAAACAGAATGGACAAAAAGCTGCCTAGGAAAAGAGTATCTGGTGTGTTGGTGGGTGGGTGTTTCTTTTTAAGATACTAGTTCTCCAAGAGGGAGCTGGGGAAAGACTTCAGGGTCTTACACTGATTATAAGTGTTAGCTTTTGAGCTCTTTGGCAGGTCCCTTTCTGTCCTTGGTGCCTGTGGCCTTAGGAAAGAGGGTGAGGAGTTTGGAGAATCAAAGTTTTGGACACCAGGGCTCATTGGACATACATTTCCCTTCTACAGTTTCTCCACAATAATTGGAGTTGGTGTTGGAGCTGGAGCCTACATCCTGTCACGATATGCTGTAAGAAATAAAAATCACCAGATAGGGAAAGGCAGGTCTAAGGCCCGTGGCAGGCTGATGAAGAGAGTATTGTGCGCTAGTGTGTGTGTGCCGGGAGGACATGGGTCCAAGGGTGGGGGGAGAGGCCCCATGGGACCCTAAGAGTGGGTGAAACTCAGCGGCGAGGGGACATGGCCATGCCCCGCCTCTGATTTCCCTGCTTTCTGCTGCCCTTCAGCTTAACCACCAGGATACAGTTGAGGGTCTTGTCCTCATCAACATTGATCCCAATGCCAAGGGTTGGATGGACTGGGCAGCCCACAAGGTTTGGAGGGGCCTGTGTGCTGAGATCTAGGGTGGGGGTTCCCTTATATGGGTCCAGTTAGGCTCTATCAGTATAACTGATTGGCCTGTAAACTTCAACGGGGGTGGGGGGGAGGGGGGCATAGAGCAGGAAAGAAGCTGGGTCACTATTTCTGGGTCTCTTCTCCCCATAATATCTTGAGCTTTCTCACCTGCCCTTTCCTGACAGCTTACAGGCCTTACCTCTTCCATTTCGGAGATGATTCTTGGACATCTTTTCAGCCCGGTAAGTGGTTGTGGAAGATGGAGGGAGAAGAGAGGACCAGCAGGGACTTGAGTGCTTAGGGTGAATCCCTTAGCTGGGACAGGATGTAGGGAGGGAAGAAAGCTTGCCGCTTCACATCCAGGAACTGTTGGCTTCTCTTCCCCACCCTAATTTTTCTCCGCCTTCTTTACTTCAGGAAGAGCTGTCTGGAAATTCTGAGTTGATACAAAAGTATAGAAATATCATTACACATGCACCCAACCTGGAGAACATTGAACTGTACTGGAACAGCTATAACAAGTGAGTGGGCAGTGTGTGTGTGCGCGTGTGCATGTGAAAGCAATGTAGAAGCAGTGACCGGGGGTGATGGGGAGGCCAGAGAGGAGGAGGCAGAAGTCCGGAAGGTCCACGGTGTGCAGGGAGGGTGGGATTTGCTGTGCAGCTGGGGCAGCTGCAGGACAGACCCAGAGGGAAGAATTGTGAGGAGCTGTCCCCCTGTCTCCTGTTTACTTCCCTTGCAGTTTTGGATTTCCGGAAGTAAGATGATGATCTGTCCTTGTGCCCTTCCTCCCTGTTCACCACCCTCTGACCAGGGACTTGGGGCGCAGTGTCTGTAGGGATTGTGCTTGAGGCCCGCCTATCACCTATCACCTATCACCTTCCCTTTTTGTTCCCACTTTTTTTTAAAAGATTTTATTGGGGAATTGGGGAAGGGGAACAGCCATTGTTGTCCTTCAGTCTTAGTTGTGGAGGGTGCAGCTAGCTCAGCTCCAAGTCCAGTTGCCATCCGGCCACCCGTCAGCAGCTCACGGCCACTCAGCTCAAGGTGCCCTGTTCAATCTTAGTTGTGGTGGGCATAGCCCACCATCCCATACGGGAGTGAAACTGGCAACCTTGTTGCTAAAAGTGCAAGCTCCAACCACTGAGCCCTACGGCCGCCTGTGGGCAGCTCAGCTCAAGGTGCCGTGTTCAATCTTAGTTGCGGGTGGGCATAGCCCACCATCCCATGTGGGAGTCGAACCAGCAACCTTGTTGTTAGGAGCACGTGCTCTCACCAGCTGAGCCATCTTGCCACCTGTTGGCAGCTCAGCAGCAGCTCAGCTCGCGTGCAGCTCATTGGCCTATGTGGGAATCGAACAGGTGACCCTGTTTCCTAGAACTCACGCTCTTAACCAACTGAGCCCCTTGGCTGGCCCTCGTTCCCACTTTTAGTCACCAATATATGATTGTAGTTTTGGATAGAAAGGTAGCTGCTTCATGGGGGAGATAGTTTATATCTGGATGGGTAACATTGCCTGCCTAAAATTCTTACTCCTCTTTTAACCTCTCTCTAGCCGCCGAGACCTGAACTTTGAGCGTGGAGGTGATATCACCCTCAAGTAAGACTTTAAGAGATACAGCTTTGCCTCTCTCCCTGGATCTTCCCTAGGTGCTTATATCCTTTAGAAGTGTTTAGAAGTGTTTTAGAGAGTGTTTTGCCAGGCAATTTTCTTGTCACCTCCCACCTCATCCCAATTAACAAATCACCACCCAGTAGGTCTTCTGCCTTTGAATCCTCTTGGTGAGTTCATAGGAGCCAGACATTTTTCCAGCTGCTCTTCTGGGAAGGAGGGGGGTGAGGGAATGCCAGGACTCACCACCTCCTCCCCAACTCTGTTCCTCTAGGTGCCCCGTGATGCTGGTGGTAGGAGACCAGGCACCCCACGAAGACGCAGTGGTCAGTAGGGAATCTGGGAGTGGGTGAGGGAGGTTTGGAGTCCTATGGTGGTGGTCAGAGGGGTATCTTGCCAAGAGGCAAGCTCAGTTTGGGACAGGGAGAGCAACTTTGGTGCATAAGAGGTTGATTCCTGGTAAGAAGGACATGGCAGGGGGCTGATAGGAAAGGAACTGGGGTCTGGGTTCCTGGGTCCTTTGGGTGGGAGGGGCCACAGGGAGTGTGGCCTCATTTATTCAGCTTCCTGCTTACTCCAGGTGGAATGTAACTCAAAGCTGGACCCCACCCAGACTTCTTTCCTCAAGGTCAGTAACCCTCCTCCATGCCCAGCCTGACTCCTGTCCAGAGCCGTATATCCTGAATCCTAGATTCCGCTTCCAGGCCTAGGCCTCCAGGGTCCTGCCTGGGAGCAAGCGGAGTGGATGAAGTAAACACAAAAACAAAACAACCAAAACCAATAAAACAAGAAACCCCTAAGGGCCTACAGTGGGGATGCAGGGGAGAGAGACCTTTTTCTACCTCCCAGCCCGGCTCACTGTATTCATGTGTGTATCACTTTCTCTGGGCGGCGCTCTCCTGAACAGATGGCCGACTCTGGAGGTCAGCCCCAGCTGACTCAGGTGAGTACCCCTGCCATCCGTGGGGTGGGGTATTCATGGCACTGGACTAGATACCCTTGGCCATTCATTCCCAAGCTGCCAGGGCCTGGGACTCCCGCGCAGCTCCTCACCTCACCTCACTGTCTCCCTCTCCTCATCTTTTCTTCCACAGCCAGGCAAGCTGACCGAGGCCATCAAGTACTTCCTGCAAGGCATGGGCTACAGTGAGTATAGGGGTCAGAGGCTCTAGTGAGGACGAGGGATTGCTACATAGGAGGAAGGTTGGCCACTGAGGGGAGGAAGCATTTTAGGCTAACTCCTGGGCTTAACCACCATCTGCCAAATCAAGCTCATTGACCCCCCTGGCCTCATCTGTACCCAGTCACCCCGCTCTGAGTTGCAGAATCTCTTCCCCAGCTCCTCTCTGACGGCCTGCGTATCCTTCTCTCTCCGCAGTGGCCTCGTCCTGCATGACTCGCCTGTCCCGTTCTCGCACAGCTTCCCTGACCAGTGCGGC